TCTTAAGAAATAAGTTATTGTAGATGTTTTCACCTCCTTTCTTATTGTAACCTCACTGGAAAACAGTTTACTCAAGCCTTCAGAGAAGACCTTGTATTTAGCTGACAGCCTCTTCATAGTGCATTATACTTACTCGTTTTTTTCTGTTCATATGTATGTTGTATGTTACTCTAAATAAAACCATTATGTTTTAAATTATCCAATCTTTAAGGAGCTTTATTTGGGTAGGGTTGTTTTAAATATATTTTTAAATACTCTTAAATATTTGTAGAAAATAGCAGCAGATCAGTAAAAGCCTTGCTAGTAATATAAAGGTGGAAATGACAGGTCCATGCCAAATTCTACAGCCCATCAAACAGCTCCAAGAGAAGCGTTCCAGTAGCAGGGCTGGGAAGAAATCTTTGGGTTAGAGATTAGCTGATGTTTACAGTGCTTGTCTCGGGAGCTGCTTGAGCTGAAATGGATCCTTTTCCTCTCTCCTTCTCAGTGGCTAGAGCTGTTGACATTGCTCTTGTAGTCATGCCACAGGCAAATCTGCCATGTGAGTTCTTTTGCTGCCCTTTTTCCACTGTGGTTAAGAAAGCCACGAGTGGGATGGACTTCTGTGTCTGCAGCATACACTGACATACAAGGCCAGTTAAATTCAGGAAGGTATTATTTTGTACAGTAATTAAATGTTATTTTCTTAACAGAGAGCTTCCTGCCTTGTGTTTTCTCAGAGCAGTTATTTTGACACCAATGCTTGTGTGGACAAATACTGTATTTTCCTTTGCAATGAAACTCATTTTAACAAGATCAGTTACTACTTCTAAAACAAAAGGGAAAAATGCTGTTTTCGGTGTTTGGGTTTTGGTTTGTTTTTGTTGTTTTTTTTTTTTTTTTTGTACATCCTTTGCTGCTGACTTTGCTAGAATATTGAATACCTGATATGCTTTCTTTATCTGCTTAAAAACTCTTCAGTAGGAATGTATGTTCTCAACTGCAGTACACACACAGGTCTCAGTAAGATTAGTTGGCCATAGGCTATCGTGACTACAGACCTTATTATCTCAATGAGAAAGGCAAATCATACAGAGAATTGTGCAGTGCAGAATCGAAGCACCAGCTTTGATAACTTATCTTGCAGATTTCCAGTTTAGTGAATATGAGATTAGTATGATTGCTCAGTTATTAAGAGAAAGGGTTCATTTGCAGCTCCTGATAAAAATGTATTATCTGCCTGCCAAATACCTGAGCGTTATACAACAGCAGTTCCCTTTTTGCTGAGATAGGCACAATAATCTGAACATTCTAAATAATAAACAATAACATTTCTAAAACTTTGTTTCTTTTTCTGCAGTGTAAATTCTAATACTGCTTTCGCTAGCCTTTGTTCTTGGAAGTCCATTGTACTGCTCAAGTGTACATTTTCTGTTTCCTTCACTCCAGCTGTTAATCCCCTAGTTATGCCTGAAGGAAATGTTTAAAAAGAGGATTTCTCCATAACTGGCTGATCTGCAGGAATCAACTCTCTTTCAAGTCAGTTGGGGTTTTGGTTTTTTGGGTTTTTTTGGGTTTTTTGGTTTTTTGTTTTTTGTTTTTTTTTTTTGGTTGGTTGTTTTGGTCTGTTCTGGTTTTTTTGTTTTTTATTTTTTGTGTTGGGTTTTCTTTCTTGCCAAACTGAAGCATGTTTTCTATGGGAACAAAATCTAGGCAGCTCAGTTTTGCTAGTATTGAGTGTGACAGCCAACAAATAACCCTGCGCTGTAACTGTGATGTGAGCACAGCAGTTGGTCGTTAATAGATGAGCCAGCAGTGCTGCATGCTACCTTCCTAATGAGACACTAATATTGCCCAGTGTTCTTTAACTGTTCGTAAAGTAGTCCTTAATCTGTTTCTCTCTTTTGGATAATATACTGATTTCCTAATGTCATAAAATGAATATTTGTACATAACACTTGAACTGCAACTGCTTCTCTTTCATTTAACAGGCTGGTGTCAGAACAGCTGCAAGTTGTACATTTCCCACATACCTTGCTTTTGGGATGTGCTGCAGAGACGCAGTGATGAGCTGGAGGAGTAATTGCAATCCTGCCATCCTAATCTCTGCTTGGGGAATAACTGTAATCTCTGACTACACAAAAGACAACCAACCCACGGTTATTGTGGCATACAGGTTCTCAAAGATCTAGAAATCCAGCAGGATGCTTTCTCTCTCCAAAAGAAACATGGAGCTTAGAGTAGTCACTGTGAACAGTATATCCAAGCAGAAAGACACTGGAGCATGTGCTACCACACGTGGGAGCTGCTGCCAGCTTAGCTGTGTACATGCTTGATAGGCTATAGAATGGCTTGGGTTGGAAGGAACCCCAAGGTTCACAAAGTTTAACACCTTGCCACAGACAGGGCCATCAATTTCCAAATCTGGTACCAGACCCTGTCTGTAGAGACTCCTCTGGTGCTTCTTCATGGTAGTCCTCTAACACGCAGCAGGCAGTGTACTCCACTCAGAATGGAGTGCCTCCAGGAAGGGCAGGTACTGAACGGCAGGCATGGCCCTCTCCCACATCCTGCTGACAAAGGAAAGCCCACCACAAGAGATAGTTTTTTCAAATCTATGGGATATTGTCCTAAATGTTGAGTGTAGTTTAATAAAAAGCAGACCAGCAGGTAGTAGAATTATCTAGGAACTGTTCTATATCAGACTTCTTTAGCTGCTTCTTTTTACTCCTTCCCTGATTTGTCTCTTTCTGCAATATAATGAAATAAATCTTCTCTCCCAGTCTAGAATCATGGTTTCCTATGACTAGGAGCCTATGACTAGGACACCAGGCTCCCTTCTGGTCTGCATTTTAAGGAGCTGGGAGAAGTACTTCTTACTGTACTGGCATTAACAGGTGCAAGCCCGTGGTTGGTACCTTTACCAAGTAAGGTTGATTTTACTGTATGAGAAGTGGGGTTCTCTTCTCTGTTTATCAGTTTGTGATTTGGTTTACATGGGGCAGTTTTCATGTTGTCCCACTAGTCCCTGCACTGCTCTGCAGATGAACCCCTATCCTTTCTCACCTCTCCTCCAGACTCCAAACTCTTGAATCTGTTAGATACAGGGGACATTGTTAATCGTTCTTTTGACAAACGTCAGCAATTAAATAATAAAAAATTCTTGTGTATCTATTAGAGACCTCTGTCCCTCCAGATAAAGCAAGAGACCTCACCCAACCCAAAGAAAGGAAATGCAGAGAAGATAACATTTTGATTGCATAAGAAATAGCATCTGGGTTATCTGAGGTGCATGTGGAAAGTCCTACAGCAAGATATTGAGCTCTGTTTATAATACTGGCATTCAGGAGAGAAGTAATGATACATCTTGTTGCATCTGAACTTTCTGATCTGGCCTGAGCTGTGCCAAGGGCACCACACCTCTTTGCCTGCACAGCCTTTCATGTCAACTAGTTTGAAATGTAATGGGGAGGAGGGGCAGAGCCAAAGAAATGTTTAACTTGATTGTCCTCATCAGTAGCAGTAATCTATTCACACAAAAGCATCCCAAGTGCTAGCAATGTGCTATTTTTAAGGCTCCCCTTCCTGTGAGTTAGTTATTAAATGCTCTAAGTTATTTATAAGAATCATTTGTAATAAACACCGCAGGCAGCGAGGGACATTTTGGTTTTCAATCACTTACAGTAGTTTGCATGGTGTGAGATAGTTAACTGTATCTGGAGCTTCTCAGTGTGTCCTTCAGTTTAGTGGCTTTCAGCCCCAATTTTTCCCCAGATTTTTCCTTTCAGCAGAATTTGGAGTTACCATGTAATGTATTTCCGGGGTGGGTCATCGCCTTGCACTTCTGCAGGCAAGGCAGGCACGTCAGGGATGTTGCACAAGAAGCATCAGCTCCCTCAAACTGTACTGTGGAAAGGCCTGGCAAAGCCAGACGCTAACCCAGTGACCACCTCCACTTCCAACAGCACTCAAACACACCGTGCAAACTGTTTTCATTCATGTGAGATGCATAAATCTCTCACGGTCACCTTTTGTGGTTGGCTGACAGCAGCCAAGAGGGTGTTACTTGTAAAATGGATCTAAAAGGGGCCCAGTCCTGCCCTGAAAGGAGACACATTTTTAGACATCTGAAGAAGGAAGCTGAGTCCTTGGACTTGTTCAGCCCATTTTTATTGCTGGAGATGCTGCTAGTTGCTTCCTTTGCTGCAGTGCTTGAGCTCAAAGTGTACCTTGGCAGAAGCCCAAGCACACAGGGTTCACCTCCAGGCCTGGCACTTCAGTGCACCTTCTGGCAGTCCAGAGACCTCCTCGGGCCTTCTGCCTCCACAGTGGGCCACGTTTTCCCAGTGACCTCTCTCTGCCTGCTTAAAAAACTGCTTTAAATTAACAGCCCCTTGGAAACATTCATCTGCAGCAGAGGGGTTTGGGCGTGAAGGGAGAAGAGCCTGGGCTGTGGCTCAACCGAGTGCTGGACTAAAAGCTGGAGACCTGCCTGGGTGATAAGGACACATCTGGGGCTGCTTCCAGATGCCCAATGACCTCCTGAGGACAACGGGCACTTTTAAGTAACAGCCAACTCTGACAACCACTGCAACCAGCCCTGATGGTGCAGAAACATCTTCCCCATGTGGATCCGGGCACACAGACATCACACCCAGAGAGGGCAGCCATATGGAGAAGCCTTTTTCACTGTCCCAAACCAAGCTGCAGCCCAACCGTTGCTCCCTTCCACTGTCAAGTCAGCACGTGAGCAATGAAAATCCCTGGGCTCGCCTCCTTCCCAGAAATGCCTGTCAAAGCCCAGGCATCTATTCACCCCAAGTATCAATTTTATAGCGCTGTGTGTGTGTCTATAATCTATTTACCAGCATTCCTACTTCAGTATGTGCCTGTTAATAAGATTAGTAATTAAAAAGCTTGATAGGAATTGGCAAGCATGCCTCTGCCTTGCCCTCCCCTCACAGCCAGGCTGGTGTGGAGGCGGCGCATGGCTGGCAGAGCACCTGTGGGCCGGCAGCAGCAACAGGACGGCTGCCCACCTGCAGGACATGGAGAAGGCCCGGCCGCTGTGGGACCACCCCTTGCAGTTTGTTTTCGCCTGCATCTCTTATGCCGTGGGGCTGGGGAATGTCTGGAGGTTCCCATATTTGTGTCAGATGTACGGTGGAGGTAAGTGCAGTTTGCATTTCTCACTTTCTGCCTCTGGAAGTGTGATGATGAGCTCCAGAGGCGTTTTGTCCTTGCTGACCCCACCAGGGTCCGGAGCAGAGCAGGAGGTCAGGCTTTTCTTCTGCGTGTTTCAGGAGGAAAGTTCCTTGTGCTGTGCAAGAAGGGCACAACATACAGCTGGCTCAGACTTTGTCTGCTTTGTTTTATGTGTTCTTTAGCATAAGATGTTCACCTGACCGCTGCTCCCACACAGCACTCACTTCTCAGAAGTACAGTGGAACAGTGGGAAGCCCCATGTTTTGTAAAAGCACAGTGAGAACTGTAGGTCCGTAGGATGTTTATGTATTGCTTTCCTGCCCCCTTGAGCCACTCTGAAGGCACCAGAAATGAGCTCAGATCCTCACAATTTCTCTGAGAAGTAGCTGGATCAAGTAAGAGGTGGGAAGATGTTCACACTGAGTTGATTGAAGGATCCGCTGTAACTCATCAAGGAGCTGTTATTAATTTGTTGTCCTTTATACAAACCTTACTCCGGGAAGTGATAAGTTGTCTGCAAAGCTGCCTTGAATTTGGATGAAAATCCTCAATCAGCAGGAGCTCCTGTGCTAGTGCCTCACAGCAAACTTTGAAAATAGGGAATAAATGGGCTCAAAAATGCCAAATCACCATCCTTGAAAGTCCATCCCTCTCCCAGGTCCAAACAGGAGAAAGATGATATCCAAATCGTATAGCAGCCATGGATGTTGTTCCTTAGAAATTGAAAGTCAGTTAATTCGTTAACTGAAAAACACCACTAACAATCTCTTTTAGTGTATAACTACCTCTGGTTTACTGGCATTTACTGAAGAATTACCTGTGCAGAAACTGTCTGTTTTCATAAACCATCCCAGTTTTATATTATTTCCCAAGCTGTATCCATTGCCTGGATCCAGAGCAATGGACCCATCTTGTACATGCATTAAGCAACATGATCAGTATCTGCTTTACTGCTGGTCTGCTTCTGACTTGTTCCTTTCAGGAAAGAAACACACAGGTGTTTCAGTTCTTCTTATTAATTTTGTGCAATGAACGTTGACTCATGGCTTGCTTTTAAATGCAGAGGTGGTGGGATTTCAGAGCTGCCATGAGGGATTGGGTCAGAAAAACTCAGATAATGCAATGGACAAAACTACAGCAGAAGCAAAATGCTGCTGTGTCTGAAGCTTTCTTAACCATTGGCTGGCGACCCTGCACACAGCAGGGGGGTTGAAACTGGATGATCATTGTGGTCCTTTTCAACCCAGGCTATTCTATGATTCTGTGATTTCTGAGATCAGAAGTGATGGAAGGGCTGGATTCTGGGAATACTTATCAAGGCTTTTGGAAAGTAAAGGCTTCATGTCCAACACTGAGTTCTGGCACAACACTCAGGTGCCTGTATGCAATTAAACTGCGCGTGATGAGTGCTCCAACAGCTCATCTTGGCAGACACCCTGACGGACGGCAGAACTCAAACACTGACGAGGAGGTTCTGTGGTTTGTCCTTATGTCAATAGTATAGTAGATGGCGAAAACTCTCTGACATGTAACCCAAACTGGAACACTGATCAACCATAGAAAAAGAGTAAATAAAATCAAGTGTTTTCTGAAAAGCATGTTTTTCTAAGAGCAGTTTCTCCACTAGTTCTATCCTCCTGATTAAATTTTCCAGGGGAGCAGCAGTTTTCCTTATTGTTTGTCCAAAACTCCTGACAGCGGGCTTTGCTTCTCCTAATTACTTTCACTGCCCTCTTAGAAGCATTGAGTGCCCTTCCAGGGGGCCACAAGACTCACACCAAACAAAGCAGTGCTGCAGGAATTCAAGCGCTGGGTATGCCAGGCACCCAGGGATGCTGGCAGCTGCCCCTTGGCCTCCTCTTTGCAGGGAGCACGGCCTGCCCTGTCCGGCCCAACAGATCGATTGCCTCCCTTGTGGCATAGGAAGTTACCTAACAGGCTAACAAAGGCCTTGTTAGCAAAGACAGAGCTGGGCGGTAGGACATTAATTCCGAGAATAAACCGGATTATTGCTCAGTGTTTACTTCCAGTCCTTTGCCTCGGCCACTGCCGGAGCCCATTCTTCTGTGCCACTGCACCAAGCCCATCGTGAAGAATGTTAATGCCACAGATTAAATCCTACATAAGAGATATTTACGTAAATTTTTTGGCACGCTGTAAAAAGAGAACCAGGAAAGGCTTCAGGAAGAAATCCAGGGTTTGACTCAGTCAGCAGCTCTTTCTTGAAGTGAAGGGGAAGGATTTTGTCTTCCCACCAGAAATTCAAGCTGATGGGCATCCTGCCCCTCACCTTCTTCCCTCCTTCCTGCCAGGCTTCAATACATTACTTAAAATTTCCATTCTATGTGGTTATTGCTGTTGCTTTGCTCCCTATCACAGAATGCTGCATGTAGAGCTCTCTTCTGCTTGCCTTCATTTGTCTTAGCACATTCAGAGGTCAGCGTGGCATGTTGTTACCTGTTAACAGCTCTGCACGTTGCTCCAACCGTTGATGACCCACAGTTGCACAACAGAAATCCCAGCCCTGCCAAATGCCCATGGAAAATTCCTGGTCCTGGCCAGGACACCTGCTGAAACCCCAAGAGATGTCCCTCAGGCTGTGTCGTGCTCCTGAACAAATGAGGTGCTGGGACAGGAGCCAGCCAGCTACCACCGCTGGGGCAACTTGGCTGCTGAGAGGGCAGTGTGGTATTTACAGGCTGGTGGTATGCTGGACACCACCTGTTTTCCCTTGCAGGTGGCTTTTTGATCCCATACGTCATCATGCTGATCGTGGAGGGGATGCCGCTGCTCTACCTGGAGCTGGCGGTGGGGCAGCGCATGCGCAAGGGGAGCATCGGAGCCTGGAAAATAATAAGCCCCTACCTCTGTGGGGTTGGTATGTCCTCTATTTCCATCTTTTTTTTTTTTTTTTTTTTTTTTTTTTTTTTTAAAGTATGTAAGGAACACAGATAATTTGTCCTTCATAGATGAAAGCAGACAGGAGATGGGTTTCCAGCAGGCTGGGGGCATTTTCCTCCTCCCTTTCCTAGCGCTGGTGCTGAACCTTGCTTGGGCACAGAGGCCTGAGCCCCGCTGCCCTGGGGCAGGCTGCCAGAATGGTGGCAGCCCGAAGATCAGAGCCAAACTCAGCCCCATGCTGCCCATGCTGAGCATCAGCCCCACAGAGCAGCAGGATGGAGCTTTGGCTTCCTCACTACAGCTTTGTGTTTATCAGAGCTCAGATCTTCCAACTTTATTAAGACATTATATCACCCCCATGGCCCAAGTGAGCTTGCTTACATGCATGTTTTGTTGTAACTGTAAATTGATTGTTCACTCTCCAGAGTGACTGAAGCGTAGAGCTCAGTTCAGGCCAGCCCTGACAGGAGGCGGCCATCTTGCCATGACTGGCTTCTGGGCTTCGCCACTGACCACACACTCTCTCCCACCTGCAGGCGTTGCCAGTGTGGTCGTCTCCTTCTTCCTCTCCATGTACTACAACGTGATTAATGCCTGGGCTTTCTGGTACCTCTTCCACTCCTTCCAGGTAAGTGGGTGCTGGTGGTATGGCTTAGCCCCATGGAGGACCCCAAGGGCTTTGCACTGGTACTGGATGGACATTGCTCGGCTCTGGGATAGTCCACGTCATGTGCTCCAGGGCAGGAGTTCAGTCCTCTGGGAGAAGCTCAGAGCTAGGAGATATGCTTGGCTCCAGCAGAGATGGTCAGAGAGGTTGGTCACGGGGGAGAGGGACGGTCCCTGGGGAGAAAGTCATCCTTGGAGATGGGGTTTCCTTCAGGTAAGATGATCAGAGGGGCTCAGTCCTCGCTGGGAAAGAGAGGGCCATCTCCAGAGGAGAGGTTCAGCCCTTGGAGAGTGAGGCCTCGCTACCAAGGGATGGTGTCAGCACAGGGCCAGGTGGTACAACATGGGGACAGGCACCCCCAAGGGAAAAACTTCCCTAACTTCTGTTTCCACTGCTGTCCTCTCTCCATTCCAGGACCCACTGCCATGGGCCACCTGCCCCTTGAACGGCAACCGCACGGGGTACGAGGAGGAGTGCGAGAAGACATCTTCCACCCAGTACTTCTGGTACCGGCAGACCCTGAACATCTCCCCCTCACTTGAGACCAGCGGGAACCTGCAGTGGGAGCAAGCACTGTGCCTGACACTGGCCTGGCTGGTGGTCTACCTCTGCATCCTCCGTGGCACCGCGTCCACAGGCAAGGTAAGGGGCAGGCACGACCCCTGGTGGTACTGATGGTGGCAGGAGACACCTATTCCTCAGGATTTGCAAGAGAAAAAGAGAAAAAGAGGTCTACTTGGTCCTTTTGCTTTCTTTTTATCTGCAGCAAAAGTTAGGAGGAGGGGGAGGAAAGAAATGTCCTAAGAGCCTTCACTAAGAACAGGGCTGAGTGCTGTAATCCACAAATCGCATTAGAAAAGCACAGAAGCCCAAGAGACTGCTAACTAAGAGTAACCTCTGAAACTTGCTGCAGCTGGGTTTGTGGGCAAAAATGACCCCAATAAAATAGCAAAGATGTACTGACAATGCATAACAATGGAAGGGGTGCCTCAGTGCAAGAAAGAGAGCAGTACAGATAACAAATACAATAATAGTAGCAGATCTTCATGTGCACTACTGAGATGTTCCCCTTCCTTCCCATAGGTCGTCTATGTCACAGCCTCCTTGCCATACTGTGTTCTCATCATATACCTCATCAGAGGACTGACACTTCACGGAGCTGTCAACGGGTTGATATACATGTTTACTCCAAAGGTATGGAAAAACAGCACTGAACTTTTAGCTAAATGTTACTGGCGACTGAATGTGTAGGTTTTCAAAAGGTGGCAATGCTGCCTTTCTTCTTCACAGAGTTTTTCCATTGGTAGCCCTGGTGAGATGTCTCAAAGTCCCCAGCAGTGAGCTGCTAGTGGCTTCCCTACCACATCGCCCACTCCTCTTTGCTTTCCTGCAGAGAAGGATGCCCTCTAACGCCACTTGCAGTGTACTGCTTCCAAACTGTGCAGTAAACCTGCTAGAACTGCGGCCCTGAGTTAAAAGGGGTGTGCAAAGGGACCCAAGCCAGTTCCCTTCACTCCTGGGTGTGGGCGTAACCTCATCAAGGTCGCTGTCCCGGTCCCCGTCCCTGCAGTCTCCAAGGGGCGGTACAGTGTGCAGCCTCACAGCCCCATCCTCCTGTCTGGTTTTGCAGCTGGAGCAGCTGTCGAACCCCAAAACGTGGATCAGCGCCGCCACACAGATCTTCTTCTCACTGGGTCTGGGCTTTGGCAGCCTCATTGCCTTTGCCAGCTACAATGACCCAAGCAACAACTGTGAGCGGCACGCCATCATCGTCTCCCTCATCAACAGCACCACGTCCATATTTGCCAGCATCGTGACTTTCTCCATCTATGGCTTCAAGGCGACATTTAACTACGAAAGCTGCATAAACAAGTAAGAGCTGGGTATTTTGTTTACTTCTTTGCCACCAGAAGCTATTCCTTGCAAATTAAATAAAATAAAGGTGAACAAACAACAGCATGCAGCACCAGATCTAGGACTGCTCTAGTAAAGGTGATGATGCTGTTTGGACTGGGCTGTCCCCAGGCAGCACTCCCCAACCTCCTTCCCTCACTTGGCCCTGGCAGCTCCATCTCCATCTGCAATGGGCACTAAATCTATGCCATCCACCACAGGGTGATCCTGCTGCTGATGAATACTTTCGATCTGGAGGAAGGCTCCTTGACAGCAGACAACCTTAGTGAGATGAAGGACTACCTCATGGCTGCCCACCCACAGGAGTATGCCCAGTTGTCGCCCCAGCTGAAAAACTGCAGCTTAGAAGCTGAGTTAGACACGGTAAGAATCACAGAATAATTAAGGCTGAAAAAGACCTCTCAGACCACCTAGCACAACCACCAACCCACCCCCACCATGTCCACTGACCACATCCCTCAATGCCACATCCCCATGGTTCTTGAAGACCTCCAGGGACAGTGACTGCACCACCTCCCTTAGAAGAAATGTTTTGTAATATCCAACCTGAGCCTCCCTTGGTGCAACTTGAGGCCATTCCCTCTCATCCTATTGCTGTTACCTGGGAGAAGAGGCCAATCCCCACCTCACCACAGCCTCCTTTCAGGCAGCTGTAGAGAGTGATCAGGTCTCCCCTGAGAGACCTCTTTTTTGAGGTACACTGCTGGCTCATGTGCAGCCAGCTGTCCATTAACAGTTCCTGGTCCTTTTCCTCCATTCAGCTTTCCAAAGGGGCTGCTTTGCATTTTGTCTGGGCTTCAGTCCCCCCTTGCTTGGCACATTCTGCATCCCTGGAGTGTCAAATTGAAAGGCACTACAAGGAATTTGACTTCCCTCCCCAGTGAAATTATTCCTTACCATAAGCTTATAGGTAGCCAAGCCCCCAACTCACTCACTGTCTCCTTCCTGTTGGCAGGCTGTCCAAGGAACTGGGCTGGCATTCATTGTCTACTCAGAAGCCATCAAAAACATGGAGGTGTCTCAGCTGTACTCTGTGCTCTACTTTGCCATGCTGCTAATGCTGGGCATTGGCAGCATGCTGGGCAACATCGCTGCCATCCTTACGCCCCTGACTGACAGCAAGGCCATCACCTCACGCTTCTCTAAGGAAGTGATCTCTGGTAAGTGCCTGCAGTGCGGTACCCTTGGCCACACAGGGAGAGCAGGCATGCATAGCATGGTGTCCCTCAGCATCTCTCTGTCCTCGAGAAGAGAAAGGAGCGGAATCACAGAATTGTTAAGGTTGGAATAGACCTCTAAGATCATCAAGTCCAACTGTCAACCCATCATCTCCATGCCCATTAACCATGTCCCTCAGTGCCACATCCACACGGTTCTTGAACACCTCCAGGGATGTGACAACCAGCTCCCTGGGCAGCCTGTGCCACTGCTCACTGCTCTCTGAAGAGACTTTTCCTAATATCCAACTGGAATCCGAGTGCAGGACCAAGCACTTGGTCTTGCTGAAGCTCATGCATTTGGCTTCAGCCTATTGATCCATTCTGTCCAGACCCCTCTATAGGGCCTTTCTACCCTCAGAGAGACCAACACTTCCTCCCAACTTGGTGTCATCTGCAAACTTACTAAGGATGCACTCAATCCCCTCATCCAGATAATCAATAAAGATATTAAATCAGTCCAGCCCCAGTACTGACCACTGGAGAACACCGCTCATTGTGTCACCAGCTGGATTTAACTCCACTCACCAGCATCCAGCTGGGCTGCCAGCTTCTGCAGGAGAATGCTGAGGACAGTTACAGCCTGTACTAAAATTTAGGTAAATTACATCCACAGCTCTTCCTCAATCAATGGTCATCCAGTCATAGAAGGAGATGAGGCTGGTGTCAGGCAAGACCTGCCTCTTGTGAACCCATGTTGGCTAGGCCTGGTTCGCTGGCTGTCCCACACATACTGCATGATTGCATTGCTCAAAGGGCCAGGAGGAAGGCCAGGAGATGTGTAGCAAGTGGCTCAGCAGTTTTGCATACGTCACCAGCATCCCTAGATGTGAAACAGTGGTCAAAAGCAGTAGATGCTCCCAATCAAGCATCACATTTAAGAACTGTTTTACCACTGTTAACTGTCAACCAGAATTCAGAGTGCTCCACACAGACAAAAGAGTGCGGGGGGAAGCATTTAAAATCCATGTTTTCATCAGGCAGAGAAGAGGGATGAGTGCAAATAGCTCAGTAATAGACACCATGCCCAGGAGCTGCAGTAGCTCACAGCTGAAGAGCCCAGCAGGAACAAGGGGCTTGCCAAGGCCATGACTAGCACCCAGTTTTTCTCACTTAGTGGTGAGGGTGTGCTGCAACTGTGCAGTAGATTGGCAAATAAAGGATACAGCAGGGCATTTACAAACACGCACATGGGCCATACCTTTGTCAGAGGGCAAAAACTTGCCTCTCTTTTGCAACCCGTGGCACTTTGAGATCTGTATCAAGAGCAAAGAACCACAGAACGGCTTGGGTTGGAAGAGACATCAAGGATCTAGTTCCAGCCCCCCTGTCACAGGCAGGGCCACCAACCTCCAGCTCTGATACTAGACCAGGCTGCCCAGGGCCTCATGCAACCTCATCTTAAACACCTCCAGGGATGGTGTTCATGCCTTGTGTGCTGCCATGTTGCTAAGTACTGAAATACAGGCCTGATATATATAGGAAATCATTCAGGCTTTCTCCAGCCCCTGCAGCAGCAGGCACACCCATGATAAATACCCCCTCACGCAATTTGATTTCCAGGTACGAGGGCAGGGTCTCTGTTTTATCCATGCAGGTTTTGTGTGTTTCATCAACTGCATCATCGGCCTCATATTCACCATGGAGGCTGGGAACTACTGGTTTGACATCTTCAATGACTATGCAGCCACCCTCTCGCTGCTGCTCATCGTGCTGGTAGAAACCATTGCTGTGTGCTACATCTACGGGCTAAGAAGGTAACAGCTCAACACCTCCTTTTTTCTCATAGCCTGAGCCAGGTGGAATGGCTGCAGGCCAGCACCAGAAACACCACCTGGGGCTGCTTTTTTTCTGCTGGGTTCTGCGCCCAGCAAGGTGATGGGGCCCCTTCATTCCAACCTCACTCTCTAATCCGCATGAAGCAGTTTTTCAGGCAACAGTTCTTTGCTCATTACCCCTCCTGGCCAAGTATGCTCTCCACTCCCTCTGCTCGCATTTTCTTCTGTAGGTGCTTCTGAAGTGACACGGATGAGGGTGTGGATTGAACTACGCAGGAATGTGTTGTGTTTTTGTTTCTGTTTTTAAACACAGATTTGAGAAAGATCTTCAAACGATGATTGGACGCAAGCTAAACTGGTACTGGAAAACAATGTGGGCTTTTGCTAGCCCTTTGCTCATTATAAGCCTGTTTATATTTTACCTCACGGACTATATCCTCACAGGAACCCTTCAGTACCAAGCGTGGGATAGCACACAGGTAACACAATTGCTTTGTTTTAAAACAAACAAACAAAAACACTTCCATTAATTCCATCAAGACCAGAATATCAACTTAAAAAATACACATTAAATATAATAATAATAATAAAAAAAAGATAGTTTAACTGAACAAAGCTGCTGCTGGCTTTCACAAGCTAAAAGCTTTCGAGATTGGCATAAACATTTTTCTTCATGGCCAAAACATATTTTAAGAATGCTTAGCTGCGTATTTATTCCATAGGAATGACTACTGGGTAAGCAATTGGCTCATAACCTTCTGTGGAAATGTTCCTAGCATGCAGAAACAAATCAGGAACTTTTGGAGTCTGCAGAGGGCCTGCCCTGCTGACCGAGTGTCAGCGTGAGCCCACAGGCCCAGGAGCAGAACGAAGGCACATGTCCACATGGAGCCACCTCATTAAGAGAAGCAAATCAAAGCCAAAAATCACACATAACAGCTACAGCAGCTCTGTTCTCGTTATCAGTTTTAAGGCTGTGAGGTAGGACAAAGAGAGTGCTGAGGATACTCATGAGCAGTTCCACCTCAGGCAGCAGTGCCTTTGCTTCTCTGCTGGCCCATTTAAATAAACACATGGCCAGACTGATTTGGGATGTAGCAAACCAGACCCAACGCTGCTTCTCTCTCTTGTAGGGGCAGCTGGTGACAAGGGACTACCCCAGCTACGCCCTGGCAGTGATAGGGCTGTTGGTGGCCTCATCCACCATGTGCATACCCCTGGGGGCACTCCTAACTTTCGTAAGGAAGAGACTGAAGAGGGAAAGAGTCTCCACTGTTGCATGAACACAGAGAACTGGATTGGGAAAGACCTCACCCGCACCACCAGTGACTGGGCACTTCTGGAAGCCAGCAGCAACCATTACTTGTAGCAGCTACTTAGAGATTGGGGTATCTTGGTGCCATATTTACCAAAAAGTGCTCTTGGGAGGTCCCTCAGTGATTCAGAAAACAAGCTCTCCTGTAACAAGATGAAGCTTTAATATGGCCTCTGTAAGAGGGGGAGAAGCAAAACAGCAGCTCACAAACGCTCTAGCTAGCACGAATTAACCAATGCCACCTCTTAGGCGATTCTTCCCCTCTCTGCTGTAGCACTGCCTATCTGGAAACAGGAGCAACCAAGCAGGCACGATCCGGCACTGAAGCACAGGCACACATCCCTACCACTTCAGAAAGCCAACACTTCACCACGTGTATTATGTCCATGTTCAGCAACGCAGTTTATATCCAAGCTGCAGAAGATGTTGTCTCCAGAAGAAGTAAACTTCCAATTCCAGTGCGCAGTTCTGCCCTGTGCTGTACATTTTGCTAGGGATGCACTGAACAAAGTGCCTGTAATTAACAAGCTGCCCTATAAGCCAACCAACACCCAGTATGCCATACAACTAGCTTTAACAAAGGTCATATCCAAGTGTACTTTAATTTTAATCATGAGATGCAACAGTCCAGCAGTTCCACAGAACTGTTTCATTTGCTCGTGTTAATGTTCTATGGAAGTACCATGCTTAAATTTTAAGCATCGTGTAGCAGAAATCAGTAAAATTTTATCTATGAACTTGCAAAGAGGTCAATGAAGAACACAAGAAACACGCTCACAGGACACAGGTTCTAAATGCAGTGCCTTGATTACGTAACCACTAGAAGATGGCAAGTGCCTTATAAAAGAGGGATTTTGTTTCAAACGTTTTCAGAGTGCATCAACACAAGTCTATCTCTACGGGGCAAAGAGCAGGAGGTCATTTCACAGCCTTCAGGGATGGATGAAATCTTGAAAGTCATAATCAACACCGACAGGACACGCTTAGTCTGCAGCAGCCTCTAGAAATGCATGCCTCCTTCCCATACTGAACTAACAAAGGAAAGACACCCGTTTCACTTTTCAGTTTATTAAAAATGGATACCATAAACAAGACCTGTACAAAAAAAAATCCAAAGTCGCCCAGCATTTGGTAACATGTTGCATGTGAGAAGTTATCGTCTTGGGCCTCCTCTTCCTCTTCCGCGGCCCCGGCCTCTTCCGCGGCCTCGGCCACGGCCTCTTCCAGCAACTGAGCAAATGAAACAGAAAAGACGAAGCAAGTGAGACCTTGGAATACTTTAATTTATATCAGAACATTCTGCTGCAAGCACGAACAACCTAACATCACATGGAAGCAGTAAGTAAGATATTAAACCTGTTAATTCCCAGAATGTCTTAAGACAGCACTGTCATCTTTTGTGTTAGGAGTTCCAGTGCCCAGCTGCCACGGGCTACTGTCCGTCTCTGACTTGGCTGCAGACAACAAGGAGCTGAAACATCACTGCTTCCAAATACTGTGGGAAGTCTGACAATTTCTCTTCTCTGCTTGATAAAACCTTGTTCTTCAGGAATCAGAAAAAGAAATTGCAACATTTTGCTGCACAGAGTATTTTAGTTATTACCCATCTCCCTAGAAAGGTGTTTTTTCTTCTTTCTTTTTTTTTTTTTTGCCACAGCTCACACCATTTCATTAAGTACAATGTTTAAGAAAAACATGCTCTAAGATTTCCAAGCCCCTTCTCCCAGGTTGCAGCAGACTAAAAGGCAGCATTTCTAAAGGGACCCAGCACCAGACAGCCCATTCTGTTTCCAGAAATGCCTGTGCCAGTTTCAGACATGATTCCCAGCCCACTGCTTCTCAGTGCTGCCATGTCGTGACACACAGAAGGAAGACAGAACCACAGAATGATTCAGCCTGAAGGAAATGCTGGAGGTTCTACGGTCCAGATGATGGTAACGTCATTTTAGCCTATGATATACACACCCACGGGCTCCTTATTCCATTTTATTAATGTAAGAAGATTAATTATGGTGCATTTTTGAAGCATCAAAGACTGCAGGTCCATATACTTAGGCATAAATTACAGGAGAAACCGCAAGCAGTTACTTCAGAGCACAATTACCTTTAACTTATTTCTTGAAAGATACACTGATTAACACTGTTGGGCAAAACTTTTACTGCCTGAGGACACATACAAACTTCCTGGAGTTTACTGGATATTGTTAGCGGCGTAGAATAAAAACAGAAGCATTCCCTACTTGGTTAGGCTTCTAAGGAAAAGAAGGAACATAGCCTCAGCTCCTTCTGCATTCTGAAGCCCCTCCAACTCAGTTCTCCAGCAGATTATTTGTATCCACTTCCACATGGGATTTCAGTTCAGCACCACTCCTGAGGCTATTCTATACTTTCTTATTAGGCTAAATATGAAGTTACCCACAGAACCAGGGAAGCTGAGCAGACATTTTGAAAACAGGAACTGTACATCTCATTGGTGTTACCTCTGAGAACGTGATAGGTTAAGATTTACTTGCACTTGAAGACATTTACATGTTGAAACAGATGCATGAGAAGCCATATAAATAACTTCTCATGAAAGGAAACTACAGACACAAAGAAGGCAGGCAAGACAGAGTGAGTGAGTTCAGTACAAACCCTCAGAGATGAAAGCAGTACAGAAATTAAGATATTCCAATCATATGCCTTCAGACTGAGAACACGAAAACAAAGACAAGACAAAACAAGCAGAGATTGGGAAATCATGCACTGACCTGCTTCTCTTTTCTTGGACTTGACTTTTGGTTCAACATCCACGAGCAAGGTGTCCAGGGGCAAACTGTCTGGCAGAATGAAGTATCGGATGTTATTCCCCCGAATGCTCAGCGTCTCCAGCTGTACAGGCTCCCTGTTCTTCAGTGTCATTTTCACAGCCTTGAGATGAGTATTCATACTGACATCCACTCCTGAAATGGCAGAAGTCTGGTTTCAGAGAGTGAAAACACACTGGATGACTCCTCTCTGGCTATTATAAACTGTGCACACGCTTCAAGACTTTGCTAACATGCACTTCTGGATCTGTGCCATTCGTTAATTAATCCTCTAACTGGAAGAAGAAACAACATCTTTTTTTCTCTGTTAAGTTATGCTGATTTATCAGCTGCTGCCCTCAACACTTCACTGATATATTTCCAATGGAAGAGCCACTTGCTACCAGCTGTAGGGATCTGTTCCTAGGTCTTAGTCACAGCAACACTGTGCACGCTTAGAATGATTCCTCTGGACAACAAATAAACTGCCACTTATTACAAAAGCATAACAATTGTCTTTTTTACTCCTTTAAAAAGAAGGAAAACAACCTTTTGAGTAGGAAAAAAAACACTGCATTTCCTTGTTAAGATCAACCACTATTTTCTGATCAATTACACCTAATATCAGCATGAGAAGCACCAACTGCAGGTGGCACTGCGGCTGCAAACATGCTTTGTGCACCCATGTACAGGGATGACTGTCATTTTAGAGCCACAGATGACACTGTAAGGTTGTAGAGGTTCTTAGCACAGCATGAGAGAGACTTTGCTCAACAACAAAGGCAGCCAGAACACCAGGGTAGGAGACACACAGACAGCTGCCATCAGAGACAGGTTCTAACAAAGCTGATGGATCTGGCTGCAAAATGACACGCTTTTAACCCTACCACATCTCAGTAGATTGCTGCTGGCCAATGAGAGCACCTAAGCAATCCCCTGCAATACAACTCTGTCATGTTATGCTATTTTTAAGAAATCTTTATTATTAGGTGGTTTTTGGGTATTTTTTTAAAGTTAGAGACCAGCAACAAGACCAAGCACAGTCATCATACATCACAGGCTTTGCTTTACTGAGTACTGCACATCTTGATGTCTTTTGAGCAACTCTAAAATGAGTATTCTTGGAACGCTATCAGCCTCTAATCTTACTAAAGCAAACAACAACATCTGCACACTTTCCTGTGCATGACAAGCAACTAATCAGCTAAAAAGGCTTTTCTCAAAGCCTTCAGCTCAGGGAGGAGTACCCTCACTGTGCAGATCTGCATAGGAGCACTTCCCTATGCAGACACACACAGACCTGCTTGCAGGACAGGCCTTAGGCTACAGCAGGAGACCTGGATCTCTTTAACTACACATTCTGAAGCCAATTTAATGAAACCGATGTGTGCACGTAGAAATGTGTGTTTCCATACCTTAAGTAGAGTAAAAACATCCTCCTCAAAACCAACTTTCAAGCTTTCAGATTTAAAATCTTGCTCATCTCAAAGCCATAGCCACATTCATCATTTACTATTATCTGAAGGGACCTTCAAGTTCCAGCCCCAAGATGTACTGAAACATCTTACAAACACGTAGGCTGTATGCCCACTGCCCTTTGATACAGCACTAACGCTGCCTCACCAGTGCCTGCATGCTGTTGCCGTAATTTCAGGTTACCACGCTTACACCAGCAGCACCAGCACTGGTCTCCTTTACCCCACACAGCTCTGGTCAGTCTGTGGGGCTGCTGGCACACCATACCTGTGATGGTGCCATGCACCTGTGTCCCGTTCTTCAGCTCAATGGTCACAGTCTCGTGACTCAGCTTCATCAGAAACCTAGGAATTAAGCATAGGGTGTTCATCATCACACTAAGCCTTACCCCTATCCAACCACATGCTGCTACAGAGAACTGATTTGCACCGAAGGCTGCACTCTAAGGCAAACGTTCCCAACTGCCGTCAATTCCACTGAAGGAGCTCATCGGCAAAGCCAAAGCCTCAGACGGCGCCTACTGCCAGGGGCTAGGAAGGCGGCACCGGGCTCAGGCAGTGCTGGGCCTTCAGACACAGGGTTTGGGTTTCGGGCGCCCTGAAAGTTGAGAGTTGTGCATCCCTCGTGCATCCCTTCCAACTCGGGATACTACGTGACTCCACGGGCTCAGAGCCGCGCTAAGGAGAAGCCATTTTAGAAGTCGGTACCGCGTGAAGGCGCTTCTACCCGGCTCCGCCCCCAGCCACACGGAGGGGTTTCCCGGGCACCCCGCTCTGCAGGCCCGGCCGCCCGCCGCAGAGCCCACAGGGGCACCGAGGCCCCGCTAGGCCGGGCGGCCCGAGGGTGGGGAAAGGGCGGGCTGCGCGCGCGGGCTCCCCGCCGCCTCTCTCCGCGATCCGCCTCCATCCGCTCACCTGACGAGCTTCATAGCGCCGGCGGCAAGGCGCGGGGCCGCGGGGCCTTCGGCGGGCAGCGGCGGCCGCCCCTAGGGGCGCGGAGAGCCCTCGGCGGGAGCGCCGCGAGCGCGGGCGGAGAAGAACGGGGCCTCCGACGAGCAGACCGCGCCCCAGCAGCTCTAGCGGCCGCCACCGGCTGCGATCAATGGGCGGAAGCGGCGCGGCGGAAGGGGCGGGCCGCAGCGCGCCTGCGCGGGGCTGAGGGCGGGCGGGCGGGCGCTGGGGGGCTGTACTGCCGCCATTTTGGAACTGTGAGGTGAAGCTAGGGGAGGACCGCCGGCTGGAGATTATACGGGTCTAAGCACCAAAGCAGTACCTCTAGACCGCACCAGCAGTAGATAAGGACCTCAGGCACAAAACGCAGCTGCCAGGATCTAGAAAAATCAGATTTTTTTTTATTGTCATTGATGAGTACACTGTTGTGATTTCAGCAATACAGACTCTTTGCAAAGCACTGAGCTCTGGCTGCCCTCCAGCTTTGAGAATCCCCATTAACCTGTCTCTCCCTCCATCCGTACACACACTCCACAGCTGGTCTTTGCCACAACAAATCTGTTATTGTGTTTATTTTTTAAAAAGCTGCAAAGATTCAGTTCTAGACTGCAAGACAACAGTTTCAAGGGGCAGCTGCCCAAGAGCCATAAGAACCGTTACATATTGAGTCTATGGTGTTCCTGCACTTTGTATCCATGACAGAGGTGACGCTGGAAAAAGAAGTCAGAGAGGAGGTTCCAGTTAACCACCAACTGGTATTCCCAGCACAGCATCTAGAAGCAGACACAGGCATGGCGAGTACTGGTGTTTATGCACAAGTTATGCTCACAAAGAACCAGAGGCCTCCAGCAACATTCAAGGTTATATTGAACAGATAACTGCAAGTCTGTACACGGTTTCAGTCATAACACAGTGAAACACTGGAGTATGAGTGCTTTGTGTTCTAACTTCAGTAATGACAACTGTGCTAGCTCTAAGATTCTACACATTTCTCCCCTCATTTACATTTTATAACTGCAATCTGAATATACAGCTGTACTTACAGGAAATATTAAACAATGCGCAGTGCCTTAAGCAAGTTTCATCGCTGGTTTTGAACAAACCATATAAAATAAGTGACAAAATAGTTTAAAATTGGTCCTCGAGTAGGATTACTTATTTTTATACAGCTTGGAAGCACTAAATTTAAAGACACACATTTATTGTTAACCAGCACATGTTATTTTGTAGCTTTAAAAAAACTTTTTTCCTTTAAAGTGTGTTACATCATCATGCATGAAAAGCAAGAAGCTGCTCCCAAGTGCAACATGGCATTAGGGTGATATTTCCTCCTCTGATTCATACTCCTTTTTTTGTAAATTATTCCAACAACAAGAACAAAAAGAACAGAGGCAGCTGATTAGGAAAACAATACCAAGTTCACCTTTTGCATTGCAACCATTCTTGAAGTGATGGAGTACTTTGGGCCTTTAGCATAAGGAGGGTTTGATAAACCCCGCAAGGAGTTTTACATTCTTTGATTTCATTTACATCCTCAGAAAAAAAGAAAAAAGTATTTTCATGAGCTAACTAATGAATCATCATCTGGAGACTGCAGTACTGAAACAGTGCAAGACGTTTGCAACTTCAGGAGCATCCAATTACAACTCTCACTCAAACAATGATTAGTAGAATATTGCATCAGTCATAGACAACACAGGACAAAAAGATCATTCTGGAGGAGCGCTAGGATTCAAAAAAATCCTGAATATTTAGTGAAAAAACCCCCCACACAAATATGCATGAAGGACTTGGACCTTACCACAGCAAAAGCAATCCAGCTACAAGCCTTGGAACAAGACTTTCTGTTGTTATGAAGCCTTATTTGGTCAGAGAACACAATTAGAAGCTTTTATTACCACTTTAACATCCGGGTATTTTGACACATGAACAGCAGAGCTCTCTCCTGCCAACCGAAGTTCAGTCAGAACTGCACACACAGACAATGAGCTTAAGCCATTCACTTTGCACTCTACAGCATTCCAGAAACCAAAAAGCTGCCCTTAACCATTGAATTGTCAGTAAAGTGGGTGGAGGCCCTTCACTAATGCAATATTCCAAAGACCATTGCAACTGAGACTGTTTCTCTCCCCTCCAGCGCTGCCAATGAAGAATGTCCATAAGACCACTATTTAGTGTGGAAAGCAGGTCAGTAGAGACTCCAAGTGTGGCTTGAGGAATCCTCAGTACCAAGCCGCTTTCCACACACACAAATTCAGTCCATCTTCTCTTTCTGGACCAGCTTGGGTGCATCTACAAAATCCTTGCCATTGTAAAGGATGATGGCAAAAGTTCCAAAGCTTGCAGTTCCCCAGAAAAGCACATAGGCCAGTGTCTCAGTCCATGTATCACCTGTTAAAGTCAGACAAACACTCTAGTTCATCTCCAACGATCAGACAATCTATGTACAATAACAAAACATTTCAAGCCCTCCCACAGATATCAAATGAAGTTAAGAGCGCTTCACAGGCACTGAGGCTTTTCTTATACCATTTTCTATTTCCTTACCTAGAAGGTGACAAGTCAAAGTCACTTATTTGTAAACTAGCACTGTCTGCCACACAGTTGTTTGAGTACTTTAAGCAGATGGCTATGGAGGTCACAGATGCAAGAACTTTATTGGCACAAACATTCAGAAATTTAAGGAAAAAAGAAGAAAGCCTTTTTTATTCCTAGCACAGATTTAGATTAGAGGAGACATTCATCACCTCAAGCTTATGTCTGTATCTCACCTTTCTGGTCTGCTTTTGTGAAGAGGAAAAAAAAAAAAAAATCTACTCAGGCAGAATTAAGTTTGGGGGCAATTAATTGTGACTTACCAGCCATTAGCAAACAAATGATGCACATGGAGAAAGCAACCACCATAATAATAGGCAACTGGGAAAAGAAAAAGGTTAGTTAAATGATGCAGTAACACATATATTCCTTAAATTCCTTGAAGCTAAGGCTGCAAAGCTATTTACTTGCTTTGCCATCAAGTTGCTTTGAGTTGTCAGGTACAACTGTAAAATTTTGGATTGTTCCAAATAGTGCTCAATAGTGACATTCAGAATGAAAATTTATCTTCTATATATTAGAATAGATGTGATGTAAAGGACATTTTTCCTTTAAAAAAAAAAAAAAAGTACACCAGCTACCACTTAAACCCCTCGTGTCCCCAAGTCCCATTTTGCTATAGAGAAGGGAAAGAAGAGAAAAAGGCAGAAAAAAGTTTTCTTCATGTTACAGTCTATGCCTCTGCATAAAGCATGAGAAAAGATTTTCACAAGCTTCTTCTGCAGAATGAAAGTCATTGATGGTGACTGGTAGGATTTCTCCCTTCCCATCTGAAGCAGATTTTAAAAAAGCAAGCAGCAGTTCTTTCAATACCTCAAGGACACTCCGCTTTCTGTCAAAGGAACAGTCTGTGTTTAGTCCCACAAGCAGGCATCACAGAAACACAGCCACATTACAGGGACACTCAATTACTAAGTAGACAATTTCTACTTAGTTTTATTAATGCCAGTGACCAAAAGGTTTCATGTTTGGAAAAACATGAATTGAAGCCTGCATACTCACAGCTAAGAACTTCCAGTCTTTCTTGACATGTAGAGGACTAGCAGATTCTACTTCATCCACTGAATAATTTCCCAGAAAGAGATCAATAGCATCCTGAGAAAGAAACAGAGCAGAAGTTGAAATGCACAGCAGTATTTATCAAATACATTTTCCCACAGTTAAGAGCATAACTTACTTGTCTAAATCCATCCGAAAAGTTATTTTTGTAGTAACGTATTAATGAGTTCCAGCCATCCATTATTAAGCCCCACTGAGTCCTCTTCCCAGTTCTGAAAAAGAAATTTCAAATATTTATTACATACTTGTACAGTCAGGACAAGTTTTAGATGCAGTCCTTCCACTGTTCACACACGTTATATTTAATGAGTGCACATACAGACAGTTACCTAGTGCTGCCTCTACATTATTACCATACACACTTGTTACAAGTTATTTGAAAATAGAATTACACTTCTCTCCATCCTATGATACAAATGTACCTGAAAGATGTGAGATGTGCTTTTCTTGTTTCTATTTCTACATCGCCTTTTCTCCTTTCACATACACACAAAGAATAGCATTCTTCTGTAGATTCCAGTCTCACCATTTTACCAATTGAATCAAAACACCACAAAGTTCATTAATAGCCTACGTCCCAAATTAATGATCTTTTTGGATGGGAAGACCTAAAGGAAGCCCCAGACATACAAAAAAACCCAGAAGACCTTTACAAGAAAGGCAGACTTGCCTTGTGTAATCTGTCTTTAAGGCACCAGTCCCAGCATACTGTTTGGCACAAGCATTAGCATTATCAGCCCATGCTGTAAACAGGAAAACATTGAGAATGTTAAGGAAGTTATGTACTGCTTGGAAAAGTGATTTAGTTAGTGGTTGTTTTTTGGTATTTTTTTTTTAAGCTTTATGAGCAGCATACCATTTTTGTAGATTTTCTCAAAGTCTGCTTGCTCCTCAATTCTCTGTCCAACATGCAAGACACCTAGCCTCTGAAACAAAGCAGATGGAAGCAAGCTAGAAATACATCAGAGATACTAGGATTTGCTTTCAGAAAAATCTGTGTGCAGTAAACTAGAATCCAGTCAGTGCTTTTCACTGTAAATGTTACAGTAACTCAAGTATATAAGCTCTTTAGGGGCTTCATTGCATTTCAGTTTCAAGTAGAATTCCTTTCTCCTCTTAAGAGCTTGTCAAAAAATAACTAAGTATTTACCTGAAGCTGGGCTTGTAGAGATCGGCGTGCTAACAAGCTCTGAATCACATTTGTCCTATCCAGGCAGTCCATGCAGTTACTGCGGAATATTCCTTCCTGCTGAGTCACGATTTTACCATCCGAATCAACTAGAAAATAACTAAAACAGACAATGTATAAATACCTAGGTGCATTGGAACGAGTAAATATTCCAGCAGCCAAAATACAGTTTCCAGAGCACGTGAAGAATTGTTAGCTGTGCCTTTTGACAT